AATTAATATAATGCTGTATGCTAGTTATACTGAAATTTTTAAAAAGTAGGCATTCAGGGGCCTCTGGGTGGCTCATTCGGTTAAGCATCCCAACTCTTGATTTCAGCTCAGGTCATGATCTCCTGGTTTGTGGGATTGAGCCCCACTTGGGATTCTCCCTCTGCCCCTCCCCGTGCTCTCTCTCTTTCTCTCTCTCTCTCTCTCTCTCAAAATAAATACATATTTGTTTATGGGGCGCCTGGGTGGCGCAGTCGGTTAAGCGTCCGACTTCAGCCAGGTCACGATCTCGCAGTCTGTGAGTTCAAGCCCCGCGTCAGGCTCTGGGCTGATGGCTCAGAGCCTGGAGCCTGTTTCCGATTCTGTGTCTCCCTCTCTCTCTGCCCCTCCCCCGTTCATGCTCTGTCTCTCTCTGTCCCGAAAATAAATAAAAACGTTGAAAAAAAAATTTAAAAAAATAAATAAATAAATAAATACATATTTGTTTAAAGGTAGGCATTCCAACACCTCTAACTTGCATGGAGAAGTCTAGAATAACAGGTTGCATTTCGGCACTAGAACATCAGAATTGATTTTGGCTGCCTGTGTGGCTGTCAAGGCCTTCTGCTGCCCTGGAAAGCCTGTTGTGGAACATAAGGATATAAAGAAAAAGCGACCATTTCTCGAACAGCACCAGGCACTATGGCCTCAACATATATTTAACTCTCTCAGCTATTCCGCCAGGTAAATATTGTGGAAGACAAGGGCTCAGAGAGGTTGAGATCCTGGTCTGAGGTTAGACAGAGCTGGGATCCCACCCCAGGACTCTCTGACCCCTGTTCTCTTTCCCCCACTGTGAGCTGCTCTTTCTTTAATCTTGCCAGAGGCCACACCGTTGCCATAGCACACTGCCAACATCCTGTACTACTGGTTATGGCCCCTCTCTTTGGGCTGATGGCTAAGTAAGCACCTGGGCCCAGTGTCTCTGACAGAGGGAAGCCCTGAGCACAGAGACCAGTGACTGAAGAAAGGTAACCTTTCAGATCACCTGGACTCATCGTGTCCACCCAGAAATCAGAAAGAAAGAAAGTACACTGAGCTGATGTAAAAAGTGGATCTGCCCCACCTATAAAAGGGAGAAAGGAACCCCGCAATAGATCCCAATGAACTCACATAAATTTGGCTTCCGTTATAACTCCCTCGATCCTCAAAGGAAGTTGTTCTTACTCCTTTGAAATTAAGTATCTCTGTCTAGCAAAAGATACCATAAATAAAGTGAGAAGACAAGGCTTCAACTGAAAGAAGATAGTGGTAATGTGTCTAACCAATGAAGGATTAATTCCCAGTACAAGCAAAAGGAAGCAATATGTTATTTAAGCATGCATACAATTGTGTTAAAACACTAGTTTTTAAAAGGCAATGAGGACGCCTAGGTGGCTCAGTCCGTTAAGCATCCGACTTCAGCTCAGGTCATGATCTGGCAGTTCATGAGTTCAAGCCCTGTATCAGGCTCTGTGCTGAGAGCTCAGAGCCTAGAGCCTACTTTGGATCCTCTTTCTCCCTCTCTCTCTGCCTCTCCCCTGCTCATGCTCTGTCTCTCTCTCTTTCCCAAAAATAAACATTAAAACCATATAATAAGCATCCCTTTATTTGAAAAAAAAAAAAAAGGTTATGAAAAGACAGTCCAAAATTCTGAGTAATTTCCTCTGTGAGGGGCAGGGCATAGGTAGAGACCCCAGTGGGTCATGTTTATATTTACATTGAATGGAGGGAGGGCTTGTGAGTGTCAGTTTCCTTAGGCTTTACCACTAACATGTATGTAACTTATGATCCTTCATACATTATCAAATAGCATATGTTTTTAAAACAAAGGTAAAAAACTGGGGCGCCTGGGTGGCTCAGTCGGTTAAGCGTCCGACTTCATCTCAGGTCATGATCTTACAGTTGGTGAGCCCACATCGGGCTCTACGCTGACAGCTCAGTGCCTGGAACCTGCTTCGGAATCTGTGTCTCTTTGGATCTCTGCATCTCTGTCCAGGCACCCCTCTTTTTTAGCTTTTATGGCACCTTTGTAGATATGATAACTTTCATCAATGCAATCTATAGGAAATGGAGGCTCAGTGACATGGGGTAATTCCCAGAGTCACTAGTTGGTGGTCACGGCAGGACTGTCACCTATGGCATGCCCCACCTCCCTCCTGCCGGTCCCATGGCACACTGTCCGTAGAGAGCTCTGCTCCATGGGCCACTCCTCGGGAGCGGTGACAGGAGTCCACATCTACTGGCCATGTGGTGCCATCTTAGTGTGTGAACAGTGGTGGCTTCCTGGCCCATCCTAAGCCAGGCAGCTGAGGTCCTGTCTGCATCAGCTGGGGCCACCATAACAAAATTCCAGACTGGGAGCTTACACAACAGACAATTACTTCTCACAGTTCTGGAGGCTGGAAGTCCAAGGTCATGGTGCTTGTTCATTCTGCTCCCCTGTGAGGGCTCACTTGGTGGTTCACAGATGGCTAACTTCTCTGTGTCCTCATGCGGTAGAGAGAGACAGAAGAAGCAAGCTGTCTGTGGACTCTTTTTATAAGGGCACTAAGCCCATCGTGGGGGCCCCACCCTCATGACCTCATCCAAAGCTAATTACCTCCTAAAACTCCTGTCTTCACCACACGGGGTGGGGTGGGGCTTCAGCGTGTGAATGTGAGGGAACACAAACATTCAGTCCATAACAGGTAGTAAAGAGAGGAAGGGAAATAGATAGCGAGCCAGAAGATAGAACAGACAGGGTTGAAGTTAGAATTTATTTCTGCTTCTCATTTTTAAGGTCTTTCCGCCATAAAGACATGGTTCTTCTGATGACTCCAGCACCACCTTCTGTCACTGCCTGTGCCGTAACACTCCCAAATGGCTCTTGGCCCTGTCACTGAACTCCTGATGTCTCCCAGACCTCAGTCTCACTGTTGTTTTGCTATAATTTCTCTGACATTGATTTTGAGTATGATTTCCAGGCTTCTGGAGTAAGCGGTTCCAGTTTGCTTTGTGTCCCACGTAAGCACAGGGCCAAGATAGTGTGCCCTATGGTGGCCCTCCCTCCTCCTATCAGCACAACTGTCCTACTCGGCTTCCCAGGGACCCTGCACGGTGCCTTTTACCTTTTCTCTCTCAACTCACAACCAGAATTGTTAGGACAGGCCTGAAAGAGAACACTTCAGGACAACCTGAACCTTCAAAAACCAGGCAGGACAAGTTGATAGGCTGGAAGAATTTACTGCATTTAAATCATCTTCACATTCTCTGTAGGTAGGAAGTTTCTCACCCTGACAAATCATAAAGTACTGTTAGTTGTTCGTCTACGATCCCTGTGTTACTGGGTGAGAGATTAGGTATCATTCGAAATTTATGTGTTAGGGATCTCTGCCTCTCAACTATCCATCAAAAGGGACAGCAAGGCATCTCCACAATTCCAGTTAAAATGGGTGGGACAGGAAGGTTTAATCCACATCCCACATCTGTCCCTGAGCCCCTGGGGAGGGTGTCCCCTCAAAGAGTCTCTTTCTTGTGGTTCTTCCTGCCTGAGCCCTGTACCATTTCTTTTCATCCTGGGGAAAATTCACCGTTCTGTCTTTTAAAGTCATTTGTATTCCGCGTTTCTATTTTTGGCATATGTGCTCTCTTGTCGACGCAGATTCTGGGATATTGCATGAGTAGATCCAGCCCAGTCTGGGGGAGGTGGGGGCCTCTCTGCTCAGTGAGGCAAACCTCGGGGAAAGTGCCGCCTGGGCTGGGGTGCACGGGAGGGTAAGCTGCGGCCATTAACAATCGAGTCTTAGAAGAGTCTTTAATGGTGCAGGGAAATGTTCTGTATGAGGTTCTGTGGTAAAAAAAGAACTTGGAGAGAAAGTGCATGCTGTGGCCAAAGAAAAATACTGGAAGAAAATAACCAAAATATTATCACTAGTTATTTCTCTATTTTCCAAACTTTCTGCAAAGAGCATATGTGATGCTTATAATCAGAAAAAGTCCTCTTTCCTGTTATGTCTTAAATAGCTCAAGATTTAAAATTCGTTGGCATGGCCACCACACACATGGAGCTGGGCCTGGTGGAGGAGGGGTTTCTGGGGACCTCTGAGCGGAGTGGCTGTGGTCCCCGAGGAGTCACCTAGAGAGCGCTGATCCGGGGTGAGAGGGCACAGGTTTTCTGAGCCTCAGAGAGGTCCCATTCTGCATCCAGGCAGGACATGCTGGTGGCCATCATTACCCTTGCTTCCCAGTCACATCCCAGCATCGCTGAGACCCCCTCTCTGGATGAGGCACGGGGGTACCACACTTGCTGGGTGCAGAGTGTAATCATTAATGGAGGCAAATGCTGGGCCCAGGGCGGGCAGGGGACCCCTGGCCGAGGAGGCAGGCTTCGGAAGAGGTTCCTGGCTCACCCCCTCTCCTTTTGAGGTGCTCTTGAGGAATCTGTACTCCCCAGCACCTAAAGAGCCCTCTGGGGAACCCGGAACCAGAACATACACTGAGATAAGATGCCCCCCACCCCCCGCCTTGATATGCTAGGGGGAGGCCTTCTGTCTTTCAGGTTAAAAACTCCTAATTACAAATCAGAGATGGAGTCATGTTTTTTAAAAAGGAGAAATAAACTGTTGACAGCAGGGAAAGGTGAAAATGACCCCAGAGTTCTGTTCTAGAAATAATAATCATAATACGTCTAATATGTTCTGTTGTTAAATACCAGAATGATATCGTGCTACTGAGGAAATTGCTTAAATCCTATATTTTCCAAACACTTCTGTTTCCTTTGCTCCTGTCCGGTGTTGGGGACGCCACAGCGTGGCCCCAGATGGTATTTGAAGTCCTTCACCTCGGCCAGCACAGGATGGGGGGAAAGCTTTCCAGAATGACACTGGAAGTCTCCAGAACTGTGTGGGGCTCCCTGGCCGTACCCCTGTGCCCTGGGGTCACGGTCTCTGCCGCCCTCCCAAGTGCAGAGCAGGCGTGCATGGAGCCCCCTTGTGTGCTTGCAGGCATCCGCATGCTGGACGGCGACGTGACGGATGTGGTTGAGGCCAAGTCTCTGGGCATCAGACCCAACTACATAGACATTTACAGCGCGAGCTGGGGGCCGGACGACGACGGGAAGACCGTGGACGGGCCTGGCCGCCTGGCTAAACAAGCCTTCGAGTATGGCATTAAAAAGGTGTGAGTTGTTCAGGGCTTTGGTGGATCTCTCAGGGGCGGGGTGGGGGGGAAGGGTAAAAAAAAGTTTTTAGCGATTAAAAACAGAGTGACACAAGCCAGAGCCCCAAAAGAGGACCAGGATGGCCCTGCTGTGCCAGGACCAGTGTGAGGGAGAAGTCATTTAGGGGCTCAGGGAGGTGGCTCTCTACCATCCAGAGCAGAAGAATTTCACCTTGTCATAGAACGGCTATTTCAGCAGGTGCCAGCTGGTCACCCACCAAGCCCAGGACTCTGTGCCTTGAAGCCTGACAGCCCCCAGCCAAGGGGTATGTGAAGGTGGGCAGCCGGGCTCTTAGTCCAACTACCTGGCCTGTTAACCTGGAATGTGCAGGTGGAAGGGGTGTCCTGAGCCTCGGACTATCTGCCCATGGAAACACCCAGCCGTGGAGCTTCCTGTGTCCGTCACGAGCGTGTGCTAATCTAGGGCCTCCAAAGCAGGAAGGCCTGGCCTTTTTGCCCTCAGTGCCAGCACACAGCCTAATGTGTTTAGGATTTCTTGGGTGGAGCCTCACCAGGGACTAAACAGAGCAAACATCCAAGCAGTGGTTCTCCACTGACCAGCTGAGGGGAAGCAGAGGAAGCTGGCAGCCTTCTTCTCCTCCACCCACCAGGAGGCCCACCCACAGTCACTCTGTGATCATTAGTTCTGGGTCCTTGGGAGTCAAAAATGCAGGGGGAAGGGAAAGAGGGACTGGAGATAACCCAGTTCTTGTAAGCCAGGTGGTGCGGCAGATTTCTGGGTGAGGACAGCTTCTTGGAGCAGGCAGACAGAGTTGTGGTCAGTGTCCGGGTGGCTTTGGGTGGCCCAACAAGGCCCAGCCCAGAGTATAGGGTATGGCCTGGCGATGCTGGCAGGGGTTTGGGCAGGAAGTCCAAGCGTCCCTGGGTCAGCATTCATACTTCTGACTTTTATTGGAGATGGGGGAGAAGGGCTGGGGAAGAGGGTGGTTCAAGTCCATTTTATTATTTGTGCTTTATAAATCTTTTTTTTTGAAGTTTATTTATTTATTTTGAGAGAGACAAAGAGAGTGCAAGTGGGTGAAGGGCAGAGAAAGAGGGAGAATCCCAAGCAGGCTCCACACCATCAGCACAGAGCCCGATGCGGGGCTTGAACTCACGAAACTGTGAGATCATGACCTGAGCCTAAATCAAGAGTCAGAGGCTTAACCGACTGAGCCACCCAGTGCCCCTTATTGTTTATGCTTTAAAACATTTTTTTAAAGTCCTTACTTATTGTAACCTATGCACCATGATTAAAATGTGATTAATAAATAGTTAATGAATAAATCAAATATTATCAGAAGATTGTGTTAAAGGCAACCTTTCTTTGTCTACCCTCTGCCCAACCCCTGGCCCTGCCCCATAGAGGAGCCATCTTTTTTAAACCCTGTTCATTATTTCTTTCTTCTAAATAATATGACTTGATCGCTTTTCTGGATGTATTGAGTTTGGCCATTTTCTATTACTTTTTTGTGGAGTTTGAGCATTTATGTGTTAGAATACTCCCAACCTGGCATTTGACCTTATGGTCATGCCTGCGACACCACACAGCCTCCTTTGCCTGCCCCCACCCCTCACCCCCATAACTCCAAGAAAATGCAAAGGCTGCTTCTGTCAGGTTGCTGAGCACCTGAGCTGTGCCAGGTGCCGGAAGGTTCTGTGACCAAGTCAGCTGCTGCCTACAAGGGGCTGCCCGGTAAAAATATCTTATCTTCCCAGTACTCAGCTCCTACCACCCACTAGATCACATGGATCTCACTCTTGGTGACAAGTGGAACATCCTAAAAGTTAAGCTTAATTTAAGCTATAAACTAGAGATCACATTTTCTGTGTGGAAGACACTGCTTTGAATGGTGTTAATCCTAAACATGTGTTATTCTAGAAGATGATTTCTAAAGATCTGATGTCTTAGGACAGGGCCTCCCATTTCCTGGATAAGTAAATGATTGTTTTCTTTCTTTTTTTTTAAGTTTTTAAAATTTATTTATTTTTGAAACAGTGTGTATGTGTGAGTGGGGGAGGAGCAGACAGAGAGAGAGAGAGAGAGAGAGAGAGAGAGAGAATCCCAAGCAGGTTCTATGGTGTCAGCACAAAGCCCAACATGGGGTTTAATCCCACGAACCATGATGTTACGACCTGAGCCGAAATCAAGAGTCCAACGCTTAACTGACTGAGCCACCCAGGTGCCCCAAATTGTTTTCAAACAATTTTTTGGTATCTCAGTTTACTTGGGTTTGTGTAGACGAACCCATGGAGGACTTTGGAAAGCCTGGAGCTGCAGAGAGGGGCTCTTTGCGTGCCGAATTCCGAGCAGCGTCAGCTTTATCAGGCTGTCGGGGGGGTGAGGAAGCTGCAGAAGGGACCATGTGGTTCCCCGTCATTCTTGTCACAGTTGCTTGAAATACTCAGGTCATTTCATCTTTTTTCAGTCATTCTGAAGTAAAATATATCATATAGGGAGCCTTAAATCGTAGCCGTCTAAAGTTGTCACTGAAAATCCTCCTAGAAATTTGGTGATCTCAAACCAGACCACATTCCCCCATCTGTTTTTCCTCCTCGGTTCCCCATTTGTCACCTACAGTCTTTTTCTGTCAAGTCTGACTTCATTTCTGGTGGACGATGTGGTTTGGAGACTTCAGAGACCATAATTTGGCATAGGGATGTGCCTAATGTCGGCCCTTAGGAAGCTTTACCCCTCACGTAGCTTGTCATCCCAAAGGGGACATGCAACATGGCTGAGGCTGGAAAGGCTGGCCTTGCCCAGATGCCGGGCATTTGCTAGCCCTCAGGAACGGTGCTTCGGAGTTCACAGATGAACCCTTCACCTCCCAGGCAGGACGCTGAAATAGGTTTTGATCCAGTTGAGGTTGTGACTGTCCTGAACAGAAATACAAGTTCATGGCTGGGGTTGAACTGTCGTCTCCTATAACTTCTGCCCTGTGGCTTCCATGACCTGGGAAATGAACATGAAAGAGACAGCGAACACATCTCCCACACCTCAGATCTGGGTATTTTCTCCACCTCACTTTCACATTCTTTTTAGGAGACTTTTCAGGAAGGAGAAAGGTTTTTGATGCCTCGACACCTGAGAGAATGGATTGGTCTAGGAGTAACTGTGTGGTGTAAGGTGGCATATATATGCCTTTGGCACTTTAGGCCCTTGTTACCCAAAGTGGAGTCCAGAAGCAACCACGCGGGCATCACCTGGGAGCTCATTAGAAATACAGAATCTTGGGGAGCCTGGGTGGCTCAGTCAGCTAAGCATCTGACTCATGATTTTGGCTCAGTCCTGATCTCGTGGTTTGTGAGTTCAAGCCCCACATCGGGCTCTGTACTAACAGAGTGGAGCCTGCTTGGAATTCTCTGTCTCCCTCTCTCTCTGCCCCTCCCCTGCTCACTGTCTGGCTCTCTCTTTCTCAAAATAAATAAGCATTTTTTAAAAATAAAAAAAAGTAAACTATTTTAAAGAAATACAGAATCTCGGGGCTCCCCCTAGACCTGCCAAGTCTGAGTCTGCCATGGAGCAAAGCCCCCAGTGACCTGTGTGCATGCTCCGGTACGAGGAATGCTGTGTGGAGGCATCGTCTGTGCTTCTGGAACAATAAGATTATAGGCCCCACTTAGCAAAATGACAGTGTTTCATAAATAAATAATCCGCATGGAATAAAGATCGGCTCTGATGGGTTAAATACCTTTTTATTTGGATTTCCGTTTCTTTGAACTAGTTTCAAAGAGAATTACATACAGACACACCCATTTCTAAGGTACTTTGTGCCTTTCTTCCAGAAGGTTGACCTTTTGGCTAAATGTGAGTAACCTTTCTGTGGAGCTCATGGCCATGTGGACAGTCCCCCCTGGGACATGTGGAAAGTGGAGTGAGTGAGGCAGCTTTGAGCAGCGGGATTGCGTAGGCGTGAGGGACCTTCTGTGGACTGTGATGAGAGCCTCAGGTTGGAAACTGGAGGAAATGTCAGAGTCATGACAAATAGGCACAAAAGGGCAAAGAACTATAGTCCATTTGGTCTACAAAGTGGAACGTCATGGGGCTTTCAGAGTATTTGGATCTACTCAGCCTGGGATGGACTTGAACTCAGAGTGAGTGTAATGCCCCCTGAGTCAGCAGCAAGGCTTCAGTTGGACTCTGTGGGGATCGCAGAATTCTGTTGCAGGTTTTCTTTGAATTGGCCAGTTGTTGGGCATAAGTATCAATTTCCTCCCACTTATTTGGAAAGAAGGGTCCTCGACAAGGACACCAAAGTTACCAGCCCTGTGGGTCCAGTTTCACCTACATGGGTGTTGGCACTGCTCTCTGGGGCTGGCTGTGCACCACCAATGGGTCCAGCCACTTGGGCAGAATGGTGAGCTCTGTCTTGGATTAGTTCATCTTTAGCTGGTGTTTGTGACTTGGTTGGATCAGAAATCATTGCTTCTGTGGATGTGGGATGGAACAGAGCTGCAGGAAGCTACCCTGACCACCACTACCTCTCAAACACTTGCTCTCCTGTATGCGTTCCTAAAAATAAAAACCTAGGTACAGGTGAAGTGCTGGCCTTGGCTGGCATTGACCATCTGACTGCTTTAATGCGGACCCATGGCGGGGACACTGGGAAGCCCTCATAAGATGGCCATGAGCAGCCAGGGCATTCTGGACCATGACCCTTTTTACCTGTTCAGTCCTCACCCAGAATTCACAGTCCCACCCCCTCTTCTCAAAAATTAGCTTGCTCTGGAGCACCATGAAGTATCTAACTTCAGCACAGGTCATGATCTCATGGTTCATGGGTTTGAGCCCCACATCAGGCTCTGTGGTGACAGCTCAGAGCCTGGAGCCTGCTTCGGATTCTGTGTCTCCTCCTTTCTCTGTCTCTCCCCTACTCATGCTCTGTCTCTCAAAAATAAATAAACATTAAACAATTTTTAAAAATTAGCTTGCTCTCTAAGACATGTGCCTTTTCCACTGGGTTTTTAAGAAAATTCACCCTCTGCCTCACAGGACCAGCTCTTTCAGTCCAGAAAAATTAATGTTATAAATTCAGCCATCAATTTTTCTTCTCAGTAATACTGCTCTTTGTGATGATCGGACATTACGATGGAAATTACAGGCATGGCTCTGGAATAGAACAGCTTATTTGAAGGCCCTTGATTTTCCCATGAAGAACAGAGAGGTCTTTCTGGGCCATCTCCTCAGTGCAATCTGTGATTCTGCAGCATTAAGCCTGTCACCACAGGCAGAAGTGCTCTATTAAAATAAAACAGGAGGGGTGCCTGGGTGGCTCAGTCAGTTAAGCATCCTATTTTGGCTCAGGTCATGATCTCAAGCTTTGTAGGTTCAAGCCCCACATCAGGCTCTGCACTGAATGGCTCAGAGACTGGAGCCTGCTTCAGATTCTGTGTCTCCCTCTCTCTCTCTGCTCCTCCCCTACTCATGTTCTCTCTCTCTCAAAAATAAATAAACATTAAAAAAATAAAAGAATCCTTTAAAATAAAACAGGGGCCCACAGAACCATGTCCTTGGTAGCATCATACAATCTGAATGCATCCTTTTTTTTTTAATGTTTATTTACTGTTAAGAGAAAAAGAGAGAGACAGAGCACAAGTTGGGGAGGGGCAGAGACAAAAGAAGGAGACACAGAATCTGAAGCAGGCTCCAGGTTCTGAGCTGTCAGCACAGAGTGCGACGTGGGGCTCAAACTCGTGAACCGTGAGATCATGACCTGAGCCGAAGTTGGATGCTCAACCGACTGAGCCACTCAGGCACCCCTGAATGCATCCTTCTTAGACCCTTGGAAGGGACATTCCGAGGGAAGGACTCCGGGCTGGTGTGAGACCCACTCTTCGAAGTTGTAGCTGCCGGGGCTGACTGAGACCTTGTTGTCCTTCCTGTCTAGGGTCGGCAGGGCCTGGGCTCCATTTTCGTCTGGGCATCTGGGAATGGCGGGAGAGAGGGGGACCACTGTTCCTGTGATGGCTACACCAACAGCATCTACACCATCTCCGTGAGCAGCACTACCGAGAACGGCTACAAGCCGTGGTACCTGGAAGAGTGTGCGTCCACCCTGGCCACCACCTACAGCAGCGGGGCATTCTACGAGCGGAAAATTGTGAGTCCTCTTGGCCAGGTGGAGAGCTTAGGATCTGCTCCTCCAGCCCTTTGGGGACAAGTTTCTTTTCCCTGAGGCCAGTTTGTACTGGCTCCCAGGGTACCAACCTCCCCCATCAGCAAACTGGTTGTACCTCGAGGGAAACCCCAGTCCCTTGGCAACCTTCCCCAGGCCCTGCCTTTCTAATTTTTGCACAAAATACCGATTAAAACCCTCTCTGGCTTCAGAGATCTAAAAATAGCATTTAAGAATGGGGTGCATTCTCAGCACTGTGCCTCCTTTTAGCTCTCTAAATTTCTGTGGTCACATCGCTTGGGATCCAGCTGACCGGTTCAGTTTCAATGTGCCAAAGAGAGGAAGGGAAAGTCTTGGTTTTATACTGAAACATTTTAGAGATCTAAGTGTTCTTCCAGGCCATCCTCTCCCTAACAAAAGGACTTGCCCCAGACCCTTCAAATTGAGCACTGGTTTTTCTGTCTGTTACTTTCACTTCAATGGACATCAGTGTGATTTCTCTTTTAAAAAGTGTTTCCGTTTAGCATATGGGTGGAATCCGTGTTTCTTTTTTCCCTACAGGCTTTCCTGCTTTAAGAAAAGTAAAGAGGGGGAGGATTTTGAACTGAAATTAATGCAGAATTCAAATGCACAGTCATTAAGTTGCTTTTTAGACGTTTAAAAAATGAGACCGTGGAGCTGGCCAGACACGGTTTAATTTGAAAGCAAGCTCACTAGCATCTTTTTTATTTCTCCTGCTGCTTCATCGCATCTCGAGAAATTATTTGCAAATTTATTTTTAGGTTTTTCTGCGGGAGCATACAGGCTCCCTGTTCCCCACTTTGCTCTGTACCAGTTGAAAGGTCGGCCACGGCTGTTCCGCCACCAGCCTGGCAGCGGCCCGGGCTAGTTAACGAAGGTATTAATTTATTTTCCTTTTCTACTGGAGCACGTGCCCCTGGGACAGGCGGCCGAGATTCTGCACGGTGTCCTGTTCGTTTAGGAATCCAGCTTCATTTGAACACGAACTTGCCGGAGTCTTGTTAAACAGGCCTGCTGGCTGGAGGCGTGTGGGGTGGAGACTGGGTCATTGAACGCTTTGTACCAGAGGCTTCCTACGGGACGACCCTGTCTCTCAACCCTGGGAGCAGGGCTTGCAGCTTTATTTGCTTAATTAATCATACTGCGTGTGCACACACCTTAGCTACAAAACGCCTTGATTCTTTTTTCTTTCTTAAGTCCCTTCTCTGAGCCATAACATGGGTCAGAAGGGTGTAGTTAAGAGGATGGTAAAAGAGAGAGTGAGTCAGTTCTTGCTCTGGACTGGAATTCTTCTCTGAGAGTATGGACGGCATTTTTTGTTTGTTGTTATTATTGTTTTCAGCTCAACTAGAGCCAAGCGTTTGCTCTGAGTCCCCTTAGAAAACCTCCAAGCTCTGGACTTTTGGCAGCTTGCTGTCAGCTGGAAATCAAGGCTCTGTCCCATCCATGCCCTCTAGTGAATGCCAGGCAGCATTTGCCTGGAGGGTGGGATTGCCTGGTGCTGACACGTGACTCTTTATAAATGGAGTGACACCTAACGTGAGCATCTCTTACTCAATTATTCCTTGGCTCTTTCATTCACTGAACATGAGCAGACCATGCACGACATTTGGTCTCAGAAAGGGGGACCTGCCTGACTTGGTTGAGCCATCTCCTCCCTGTATGGAGGACCCACTGCTCGCTCCCCAGTAGCCCTTTCTCATGGGCCTCACCTGCTCTTGGGGGCTTGGCCTCCTGCCCAGATGCCCTCAGTTTCCCTCACGGGCCACCATTGTAAGTATGTTTCAGGTGCCAGCTGTGACTTTCACCAGAAACCTTATAAAGGATGTGGCATTGTGCCCATTTGCAGATGAAGATCCTGGGGTCAGAGAGGTTGCATCCTTGTCCCTACTTCCCTACCCTCAGCTGCCCTTCCTAACATTAGGTTGCCTCAGTCCTGCTGAACAGGGAGGGAGGAGCAGGCTGGTCTCTGCCAGTGTTCCTGTCCAATCCTTCCTGTGTGTGAGAGAGACAGGCTAGATCCTGTCTGGGTGATTGCAGCCCAGCCAGAACGTGAAGAAGGAAGATACTCTGTTTGGGAGAGGATCTGGATTGTTAGCACTAGGGCAATTCATGCTTCAGGGCTATGCAGATCGGCTACTAGAGGCTTACAGTTGGTGAGGCTATCAGTTTCCTATTGCTGTCGTAACCAACTATCCCAAACTTAGCTTAAACAGCACAGATTTATTATCTCATAGTTCGGGAGGTCAGAAGTGCAGCAGCCTCCACGGAGTCTCTGTTCTGAGTCCCCTGAGGCTGAAATCCACGTGCCTGCCAGGCCGTGTTCCCTTCCCGAGGCTCAAGTGGGGAGTCCATTCTGTGCTCGTTCAGGTTGTTGGCGGCATTTACTTTCTTGTGGTTATAGGACTGAGCTCCTGTTTCCTGGTGGGCTGTCTGCTAAGGGCTGTTCTCAGCATCTCCTGGCCGCCCACATTCCTTGGCTTATGTTTCTCCATCTCTGTGTTCAAAGCCAGCAATGATGGCTTGGGCCTCTCTTCTGCCTCATCTCTCTGACACATTTTTCTGCCTCCTTCCACTTCTGGGGGCCCTTGTGATTACATTGGGCCCACTGGCTAATCCAGGATATTCTCAATGATTTAAGGTCTGCTGATCAGCAACCTTAGTCCCATCTGCAGAGCCCATGGGGAATAGCTTGAGGGCCAGAATCCCATCTAGTGCAGCAGGTGTGGCACAGCCCAACCCAAATCGGGTGATTCCCTGGTGCTGCTTCCTCATTTCAGCTCAAAGGCAAGGGGCAAATCAGGCTGTATGCCAGTGGGGCCCAGAATCAATTTCCCCACCCAGCTGGGAGTCAGTGCCTCAGAGGAAGGCATGCGGGGCCCCTGCAGTTTGCTGAGTCAGCTTTGCCTCCCCAAGGAGAAGGGCCAGCTTTGTGGTCCCGTACAGCAGGCGCTGTGAAGGTGGAGAACTCGCCGGGTTCGTCCGCTGCTACAGATGGAACTGGGTGCTTTGGGACACAGTCAATGATCTAAGGAGGACGTCCTGGTGGAGAGTGATCTGTGACCTTCTATGACTGACCTCTGATCTTCTGACTAAAGGCAGAGATGCTGTCTGGGCCACCTGGGCACCCCCCGCATGTTTCCAGCTGCTCTGAGGTCAGGGGTGACTTGGGGGTCATTCCTGTGGGCTAGCGCAGGTGGTCTCGCCATGGGGACTCTGCAATGGAAGGCCCTCTTTGTTTCATTTTGTCTTACCGTTGTGTCTCAGCACGCACACCTGCAGTAAGGAGGTTATGCGGCTTCCAGCCGTTTGTCTTGCTTCCAGCTGTTTGTATCCCATCTCCCTTGTCTCCTGGTTCTCAAGCTGTGATTAGCTCATCCCTGCAGTGGGTCGGTGTTTTACATATGCGAGCAAAGCAGATTAGCAGGGAGTATCTGACACAAAGCTTGACTGCAGAGGGGCGCCTGGGTGGCTCAGTCCGTTAAGCATCTGACTCTTGGTTTCGGCTCAGGTCACCATCTCACGGTTCCGAGTTTGAGCCCCATGTCGGGCTCTGCGCTGGTAGCACGGAGCCTGCTTGGGATTCTCTCTCTCCCTCTCTCTCTCTGCCCCTCCTGCCTCTCTCAAAATAAACAAACATTAAAAAAAAAAAAAAAAAAAAGCTTGGCTGCAGAGATATGAATGCATAGTGCCTCTTGAGTAGCTTCCGACATCTGGGAGCTGACTTAGCCTCTTATCACCCAGGTCACCACGGATCTGCGCCAGCGCTGTACCGACGGCCACACTGGGACCTCGGTTTCAGCCCCCATGGTGGCGGGCATCATCGCCTTGGCTTTAGAAGCAAAGTAAGTTCCCACTTGTCTTCTCCTCTTTTCCTTTGTTTTCTGTAAATTTTTAACACAGTAAAACACTCATAAAATTTACCATTTTAACCATTTTTTTAAGTTTATTTTGAGAGAGTCAGAAACGTTGCAAGTGGGGGAGGGGCAGAGAAAGTGGGAGACTCCGCCTTCTCCCTCGTGTACTCAGGCTGTCTTCCCTCCATCTATGTGTGTATCTAGGTCCCAGTCGTACTGGATTAGGGACCCCAATCGTATAAGGACCCCAGTCGTATTGGATTAGGGCCCACCCTAATGACCCGTTTTACCTTAATTACCTCTTTAAAGACCCTGTGTCTCCAAATACAGTCACATTCTGAGTATTGGAGGGAGGGCTTCAATATATGAGTTTGGGAGGACACGATTCAGCCCATAGTACTGCCTATAACCCCTCCCCCAAGCTCTGGCAATTGCCATTCTACTTTTCCTCTCTATGAGTTTGACTGCTAAGCAGCTCACATAAGTGGAATCATACAGGAATTGACTTTTTGTGACTGGCACACATGGCACAATGTCCTCAGAGTGTATCCATGTTGTAGCATGGGTCAGGATTTCCTTCCATTTCAAGGCCATCCTTAAGGGACGTGAAGAGATCCCTTCCCTTCTTTTCTTTTAAAAATTTTTTTAGTATGTATTTTTAAGTTTTTTTATTTTTATTTTTTTTGAGTGGGGTACAGAGAGAGCAGGAGAGAGAGAATCCCAAGCAGGCTCCATGCTATCAGCACAGAGCCTGATGCAGAACTCGGTCTCATGAAACTTGAGATCATGACCTGAGCCGAAGTCAAGAGTCGGATGCTTAACGGACTGAGCCACCCAGGTGCCCCTCCTTCATTTCCTGGTTAAAGCTCACCACCTCCTGCCCTTTGTAGGGCCACAGAGAGCTGGGTGGGCCAGAACCCCAAGTCTACCTCCCATGCTGCGTCACATACCAGAATCCCCCTTCAGGCGGCCACAGGCTGATCTTTATAAACTTTAGTTGATAATTGATAATGCAATGGTGACATTTCATCTGTCATAAGCCAAATAAAAACTCTAGGTTGTTAGTGTCTGGATGGGTCAGAAAGAACATGCAATTACGGTGTCAAAAACAGATTCAGTTAAGGCATCAAAACTGGCTTGGAACATGCCAGCCATTTGAAATTGCCAGTTGTAGATGAGATTTTAAATTATTCAAAAAATCACATTTGGGTTGCTTCAATCCTCACAATTGTGTGTTTGCATGTTGATTCCTACGAGGCAAAAGGGCATACAACTCAAATGCTACCAGTTTAACAGAGGAATAACTAAATATTTTCGATTTGCAGGCCAAAGCACTGGCTTCTGTGTCCTGAGGCTCTTTAAAAAAAAAAAAAAAAAAAAAAAAAAAAAAAAAAAAAAGCAAATAACTCTAAATAATTACTTACTTATGTGGAAAGTGGCATTCACATACTTAGCAATTCATTGTTTTATATTTCCTTCCATTCTTTATTGGAAACATGCAAGGAATTTTGTTAGTCAAAACTAAATAGAAAGCAAGCTTCATTTCATGCCAGCTTGTCCCATTAAACTTGGCCTGTGGACACATGAAAACTCTCATCTTCCTCAGTATTTTAGATGTTCCTCAGAAGAGTACAGGTGGCGAGTCAAGCAACGTGAAAACAGCATCAGCTTAAGGGTGCCTGGGTGGCTCAGTGAGTTAAGTGTCTGAGTTCAGCTTGGGTCATGATCTCATTTTGTGAGTTCGAGCCCCACATCGGGCTCTGCTGACAGCTCAGAGCCTGGAGCCTGGTGCAGATTCTGTGTCTCCCTCTCTCTCTGTCCCTCCCCCACTCACACTCCATCTCTCTCTCAAAAATAAATAAATATTTTTAAAAATTTTTTAAAAAGAATTTTATTGAACTGAAAACAGTGTCAGCTTTGAGCATTTAAGCCTGCAGGACCGGTCAAGGCAGGGACGGGTTGTAACAAGGGACCCTGCAAGCCTGAGGTGAGGAGATTGGAGACAAGGCCAGCTCACGTGTCCAGGGAGCAGGCCTGCTGCTCACCTGCCTGGCATTGCCTTCAAACACTGTTCACTTGTAGGTAGAAGGCGTCAGGGCAAAGCCAGATCGTCCCAGGTGGAAAAGGCCTCAGGGGGTCAGGGAGGGCCTGTGGACAGCATGTAACAAAAATGAAGAAAGACCCGCACGTGTAAGAATTGTGCATAGGTCATCCTGGTTTGTGGCAGTCTTGGGACTTTCCATCAATCCCTTCTTTGTTGAAAAACATTTTCAATGCCATTTCTTAGCTGTATTTTTCAGATGACTATATTTGTGATTTTGGTACCAGAGTCCGAAATAAAATGGAAGTCCTTATAATGAGATGGTTTCCTTTTTTTTTTTTAAGTTTATTTATTTATTTTGAGAGAGAGAGACAGCATGAGAGCAACAGAGGGGAAGAAAGAGAGAGAGATTGAGAGAGAGAGAGAGAGAGAGAGAGAGAATCCCAACCAGACTCCACACAGGCAGTGCAGAGCCTGATTTGGGGCTTGAACTCTCAAACCATGAGAGCCAAAATCAAGAGTCAGAAGCTTAACCGATTGAGCCACCCAGGCACCCCATGATCGTTTCCAATAATGTCCTTTTCTGCACCCATTCTGTGCTGCCCTGAACTCTGAAGTTCATGCTTCCTGGCTATGCTGAACTCCTGGGTGGACTGGCTTTAGCCATCCTTGATAGGATGCCGACATGAGTAGTAACATGTCAGGCCACACAGGTAACAAAGGCTGTGGCCCCACCCCTGGCTGAACTCTAAAGCCTGTGCCTGTATGAAGCCTTGGGCCACATGGAGCCTCAGAAACCCCCTTGAACTATGAGGTTGGCCACGGGGCCTCAGGAGGGGGAGTGGATATGGAGCAGAGAGCCGAGCGAAGACCTAGAAACTGGACTAATGGACATGGCTGGGGGAACATGGCCAGGAGGCCAGTGAGGTCATTGGCACAGTGGCAAGAACATGGTGGAGAAATCCCAGAAGCCTGGGGCTAGTGCCTGGAGAGTGAGCGCCAACGGAGGAATCTACTTGTGCCCCAAGACTCAAACCACAGTGAGGTCCCAGTGGACAACAGACAAAGAGGTGGAAAAATAGAATGGTTCAGCCACTGTAGAAACCAGTGTGGTGGTTCCTCAAAAACTTAAAGATTTACCATGTGATCCTATAATTCTGCAGGTGGGTATCTACCCAAAGAACTGAAAGCAGAGACTTGAAGAGCTCTTTGTACACCCATGTTCATAGCAGTGTGACTCACAATAGCCAAAAGGAGGAAGCAAGTCAAGTGCCTACTCAATAGATGTATGGATAAACAAAATGTGGTCTATGCAAACAATGGAGTATTATTCATCCTTAAGAAGGAAGGAAATTCTGACACCTGCCACAACGTGGATGAGCCTGGAGGACATTATTCTGAGTGAAATCAGCCAGTCACAAAACCACAAGTACTGTAGGATCCCATTTGTATAAGGTTCCCAGAGTCGTCACATACATAGAGACAGAAAGTAGAATGGTGGTTGCCAGAGGACTGGGGGAAAGAGGAAACGGGGAGTTAGTGTCTCATGGGGACAGAATTCCAATTGGGGAAGATGAAAAAGCTCTGGAGATGGATAGTTTGTGATGTATGTACAGCAATGGGAAGGTACCAAGGACATGCACTGTACAGAGAAAAATGGTTAAGAGGGTAAATTTTATGTTATGTATATTTTTTTTTCAACGTTTATTTATTTTTGGGACAGAGAGAGACAGAGCATGAACGGGGGAGGGGCAGAGAGAGAGGGAGACACAGAATCGGAAACAGGCTCCAGGCTCTGAGCCATCAGCCCAGAGCCTGACGCGGGGCTCAAACTCACGGACCGCGAGATCGTGACCTGGCTGAAGTCGGACGCTTAACCGACTGCGCCACCCAGGCGCCCCTATGTTATGTATATTTTTAAGCATGCACAAAGAGTGGGTGATCGGGAAGACCACTGTAACCACTGTGGGCTAGGGCAGGCACTGGTCAAGAGGAGGGGGTGCAGACTGTATTTAAGACAGCGTCTGTCTGCAACCTGGTCTTAATGCTGTGAACAGAAGGGGTTATGAGAGAGTATCATCTATCATCGTAAGATGGATCCTGGTTACAGAGGCGTTTAAAAGGTGGGACCATGTATCTTAGACTCAAAAAATTCTGATCTGTGCATTTTTATTAGTGGGCATGTGTTCTTTCAATGAGATGTTTCCACTTTGCACCAAAACAAATATAGATTGGGAATTACTAAACTCTCAAATTATAATTGGTAGGAGGTGGATCTAAACAACGACAGGGTCTGGGAAGATGATGGCTTAAGCATGCTGTCATGCACCACAGCCATTTACTTGTTATGATGAAGAATAGGCCCCCTCGTACTCGTAAAATAAGGAGGTCCCTCTCTCCGCTGCCACAATTTCCTCTCTAGGCCTTGAGCACTCAGGCATACCTTGGTAGCAGGGCTGGGTTTTTAACGCTAGGGATTTTAGGTCACCCGTTGCACTATTTTATCTTGGGATTTAATCCCTGGAAACCATTCTTTACAAAGAGGTTATAAAATAAGCCCTTGCTGAGGAATGGAGTCTTCGGGAATTCCATAAGTCCCCACTCGGGGCTGGCTCCCGTCGTGCCACGGTGGATGGTCCTGTGAAGCCATTGTTTTGACCTGTGTGGACTTCAGCGGTCTGTCATTGTGTCATTGCAGCAGCCAGTTAACCTGGAGGGACGTCCAGCACCTGCTGGTGAAGACATCCAGGCCGGCGCACCTGAAAGCAAATGATTGGAAAGTCAACGGTGCTGGTCATAAAGGTGCAGTGGTGGCTCCTGTTGGGCTGGGCGGGGACCAGTCAGCCGGTCCTGGGGGGCCCACTGGGTCACCTGCTGGAATCTCTATTAAAGGGTTGACAGGAGCTTCTCAAAAAGAATCCCCAAATGACCTTGATTGTGTGTCACAAGAGTGAGACGTATGTAGCTAGAGATTTAAGGATGGTATTCTGGGACCTCACACTGACTTTAAGGAAAAAAACCCAAGATCGGTAGAATTCAGGGTTCCCAAACATCATGACTTTTCCCACATCCAGGGACCACCTGTACCAGTATTGGTATAATAGTTCTCTTTAAATTGACTTGCATTTTTTTTTTTTTACATAAAGAAATATATTTTAGGGGCGCCTGGGTGGTTCAGTCAGTTAAGCCTCCGACTCTTGATTTTGACTCAGGTCACCATCTCATGTGAGCTCGAGCCTCGGTCAAGCTCCAAGCTGGATGTAGAGCCCACTTAAGATTCTTTCTCTCCTTCTGCCCCTCCCCTGCTTGTGCTCTTTCTTTCTCACTCTCTCTTTCAAAAAAATATATTTTTTAAAAGGAAACTTTATTACATCTAGTTAAACACAGGTTTGGTGTGTACTTTTATTTCTTCCTAATGCACATCCAAACAAATCCATGACTATTAAGATAAATAAATAAAATAATATTTATCTGTGTGCCACCTAAGGGCAGCTTGCATTCTTAGTCCTGAGTAGCAATACGATTTTGAAACTGGCCCTCAGTTTCCTTATGTGTACAATGAGGACCCTGAGATAGCCATGTAAGTTACTTTCTAACTATAAAACTTCTGTCTGTGTTATAAAAGTAACTCCTAGAACAGCAAGGCTTCTTCCCCCGATCCAGCCTGGGACAGACATAGGTTCCATGAAATCAACCTGCAGTCAGGGCTTGTAACCCAGATACATGGAGCCTCTTAAGCAGATAATTATAGGACTGTGCCATTGGCTTTGTTTGTATGGCTTCTTACCAGAGATGCTTGAAAAAGATTTCCATTCAGCCATGGTATGTTAGGGAGGACTTCTCCTTTCCTGAAGCTGAGGCCCAACTATTTCGACACCAAGCCTGATACTACTAGTATGTGTAAAATATAGGGCAAGTGGTGTTATTGTGAGTTCCAAGGGACATTCCTTTTAATAAGAAAGCCATTGATCAGGCAGGCCTAATGCATCTTTGTTTTGCAGGAATGCTGGTGGTAGTCGTGTGCTGTAACAAGAGCTGACCTACATTTCAATGTTGGCCTAATTAAATAGGAAAATAGATTGTATCTAGTTCTTGACCTTGCCTCTTAAATTAAACTTTGAAACTCTCCTGCCACGGCCAAATTAAACACTGGCTCAGGCCAACTCACAAGTGCGCACACCGTGCCCCTCTCCCCAAATGCCGTGGGAGGTTAGCAGGCGAAGAAGATAGCAAAAAAGATGAGCGTGGCCCTGCTTTCTTGTTTGTTGCACATCATGGTCGCGTGAACCAACGGGTTTAAGGCTTTGTTTCTCTTGTCTGGTTCATGACTCAGGGAGCCCAGATGCCGATGAGTCCCTTCACTATACAGAAACCCAAACTCGTCTCCCAGGAAGAAAGTAATAGGTCCGAGTAGGAAACACTTCTTTTCCTACTCAACACCGGAGTGGGCCACATTGGCTGGCCCGCACCCCTGACCTGAAGGAGTACAGACCAGGGAGAGGGTAAAGTGGCTGGGATCTTGGAGCAGTCCTCAGAAGGGCTGGTCCTGCGGCCCGGGACTTCCAGGTGATGGCCCGCACCCTTGCAGCCACGGAGTGACACAAGTGGTCTGTCCCGTGGCAGTTGTGGATCAGGTGCCCTTCGTGGGAGCCAAGTGGAGTGTGAGCGCGGAGCCTCGCTCCATTCCTGGGGGGCAGGATGAGGCGGGGTCTGAAGGCTCTGTCTTTCCAGTTAGCCATCTCTATGGATTTGGCTTGGTGGACGCGGAAGCCCTCGTCACGGAGGCGAAGAAGTGGACGGCGGTGCCCTCCCAGCACATGTGTGTCGCCACCACAGACAAGAGGCCCAGGTGAGGCTCAGCGCAGGCACCGCGTGGCTTTTCAGGAACGTCGGTGCTGACATGACTCTGCTGCCAGGTTCCGCAGGGGGAGGTGTTCACACACGCAGTCCCGTGCACGTCGGTGGGCATAGACCGTGCATAGACGTGTCTGCGTTTTCTCATGCGGATTGTTGAGCTGGAAAGGAGTCACTTAACTCATGACCATTTGGAGGTATTTTGCTGTCAGTTATGGTTTCTCCTCTTGCTGCAGATTGCCCCATGGTGGGGAGCCAGACCCATAGCCCCTCGTGTTGGAAATTCTTACCCAGGATACTTAGCAGAGCTGACCAGCCCAGCGATCAGCCCTGCCCACTGGAGCAGCTGTGATGGGGGTGGTCTCTGTCACCTGGGAGCCCTAGCTGCAGCCCAGCCCACAGTGTGACTTCCTCAGCCCAGAGCAGGAGTGGCCGTATCTCCCGCTTCTCTGTTGCAGAAGGGGACTTATTATCCAAAGCGCAGAGCGCTTTTCCTCTGCTTCACTTTTATCTGGCCTTGATAACTAACCTTCCTAAGGTTTAAGCACCAGAATTTTTTTTAAATTTTTTTAACACTTATTTATTTTTGAGAGACAGAGTAAGACAGAGCACAAGTGGGGGAGGGGCAAAGAGAGAGGGAGACACAGAATCCAAAGCAGGCTCCAGACTCCTAGCTGTCAGCACAAAGCCTGACTCTGGGCTTGAACCCACTGACCGTGAGATCATGACCTGAGCCAAAGTTGGACTCTCAAACCAACTGAGCCACCCAGGTGCCCCAAAGCACCAGGATTTTTTAACAAGCCTTGAGCTGTAGGACCCTGGCTTTGTCTCTCTTGCAGGGTTAGGACACACCAGGTGTCGCCCTTTGTAGTGACTTGCTCTAAATCAGATGCATTCATTCATTGGAATTTTTGTTAAAAAAAAAAAAAAAAAAAAAAAAAAAAAAACAGCCACAGAGTAAATCAGATAGCAAGAACCCTACTCCATCAGGAGACTAAATCAGATGATTCTTCTGAATTCTGCCATAGCCACTCTACTTTTTAAGGAGGAGAATGGTGTTTCTCTAGGCCTCAGTATCTGATAAAGAATGGAATGCTTTTTTTTTTGTTGTTGTTGTTCTTAGCTGTAACTATTTTATTACCTTTGGGAAAATGCGTGTTTGGAAAAAGACATGTTGGAGTAATCAGAAGTGACCCTTCCTTTATCAACAAATACAGATCACTCCCTTTGATACTGCCTCTTTTTTGAATGCACCTACCTCTCAAAAAAAAAAAAAAAGAATGCATCTACCTCTCATAATGTGTTCCTCTGCTAGAAAATGTTGAGGAAAACATTTCTCGCTGCTGCCTGGCATACGGGAGGAATTCAGAAAGTATTTGTTGGATGAATAGCCATGGAAGGCTCTTTTGAGAAATTACATCTGCGTCCTGCTGCTAACTGTGGACACAGCTTGGGTGACCCCTCCCAGGCCTGATAGGCCAGGCGGCCAGCGGCAGGTCTCAATCTTGACATCTTAAAGCATCATTTTCCAGATCTGGGCAGCCTTAGCCTGTCAATTCAGAAGAAAGCGAGAGGTTCTCTGAGATAAAGAAGGCCTTTTGCTTTCTTTTGTTTTGCCTGTTGGAAAATGCCCGGCACGTGGGGAATCAGACTCCAGGTCAGGTGACGCTGGGCACCTGGGAGCTGGGTCCTGCTCCGCGAGGCCACTGCGTCCAGGCTTACTTCTCTCCCACGGGTCTCCCCATCAGGGCGGCTCCTGAATGAAGCATTCTTCTCCTGCCAGAAATAGTTTTAAGATGGTAGAGTGGTGCCTAGGTGGCGAAGGGTTGTTTTTATTTTTATTTTATTTTGTTTTTTAAATGAAAGCACACAGAGTCTAGACAGCATAGGTTGAGGGAAACAGCCAAAACATACAGTGTGACATTGTTCCTGTCCTTTGAGGGAAGAAAGGACTCTGCGAATTCCAACAGAGGGGAAGAATCAGACTTCTGTTTCTGAAGAAAGGTCATCTTTACGTGTAGCGGTTTCAGGCTCTTTCTAGACTTTTCAGCCAACCGGCGATCCCAAAGCACTTGCTTAACTGCACTCTCAACTGTTCCCAAGGAGATAAGGGCCTCCAGATAGAAAAAGACAGAAGAGAGAGGGAGAGGGGGAGATTTAGAGAGAGGGAGAGAGAGAGAGAAATATTACTATGTGGAAGGGACCTTTGGGCTTTGTGTCCTGGCAGAGAGCTCCAGCTTACCTGTCAGGGTCTCTTGAATCAGGGCCACTAAGCACCCCTGAAGGTTATGGCCAATTTTTCTCATGAGGGTTCTTGTCTAGCTTTGTCCAAGCTGCTGGAATCACTTGGCTTACAAATGAAAGGGAAATGTTCCCACATACCTATGTTTCCCTCTCCCTGTCAGTCCCCCTTCTCCATGGTCCGGCTGTCCACCAAGAGAGCCGTCCACTCTTGTGGCCTCATTCTGGTTTCTCCTTCTCGTGGTGGAATCCAGGACTCTCTGAATGTCCCAAAGTTGGCTTTAGCTGCTTCCCATGGAGAAAAGCAGAAAGCGAGAGAGAAAGAGAGAGAGAAAGAGAGAGAGCCTCTTTATCTGGCCATCCCATGCATACCTGGGTGCAACGTAAGTGATACGTTTACCTCTTTCCTCTCGGGTAGAAGGGAAAGGCTGCCCTAGTGTGATGAAATTCAAAGAACTGTATTCATTAGGAGCAAATATGGATGTCCCAGTGGGGGCTGTGGCCACATCTGCCATTCTACAGTACTGTCGTATGGGGTGCTGAGTCAGAGGGCCTGGGTGTAGATGGTCACATACTGGGGCAGGAATGAAGTGCATCTAGGGACTGTGGGGTTGGGAATTTAGCCTGTCTCTGTCTATATCCCCCTCCTGAGAGAGAATAAGAAGTCCCCAGGAGCATGGAGAAGGTCAGGGAGCCTGCCTGGAGATGCCAGGAGAGAGGGGACCACAGGGGTGGGGGTGGTAAGAAACGAGAGGGGCCAGGCCTCCTGCTCCAAGGCACAGCCAGATTTCACTGAGCCATCTCTTTACAGCCTGTCACCCCCCCACCCCAAAACAGACTGAGCCCCCCCTGAAACAGACACCATGGTGTCTGACTTAGCTCTCCAGCACCCACAGAGCATCATAAAAGCTGTCAATGAATGCTAAATCTAAATGCAAGGACAAGGGGAAAATCACTTGAACTTGACAGCTACTTTTGCAAAAGAGAATGACTTTTGACATTCGAACACATTCAGGAGAGATCCTTGCTTAGTCTTGGGCACAAATGGTTAGGACTTTTCTTCCGTTAAAGGAAGGTACAGAGGACCATGACCTGTGACATTGCCCATGCAAAATTATTTAACAGTCTTTGTGTCTGGGGCACCTGCACGGCACAGTCAGTTAAGTGTCTGACTCTTGATTTAGGCTCAGGTCATGATCTCACAGTTCGTGGGATCTAGCCCCGAATCAAGCTCTGTGCTGACAGTGCTAAGCCTGCTTGGGATTCTCTATCTCCGTCTCTCTCTCTGCCTCTCTCTCTCTGCCCCTTCCCTGCTTGCGCTCTTTCCCCCTCTCTCTCTCAATAAGTAAATAAAAACATTTTTAAAAATCTGTGTGTCAGATTAGAGTAGGACAAAATTGATATTTTTATAACCTTTCTAAAAGCAAAAAAGAAAATCAAGTTCAGTATAATTCCTGTGAATGAAACAAAAAAATAAAAGGCCCAGCTAGTAAATATCTTATTTGACCCTTAGGATGTTTCTAAGCCAGCACTTCTTTGTGTCTTTAAAACTCAGGGCTGCTATGAAACATTTTATGCCATCCCTGACTCTCTACTCCTTCTGGAAAGACGGCAAAAATAGCAGAATCTCTTAAAGCACTAAGATGTTATCTACTCATCTTTTGTTTTAATAGGTTTGGAAGGTTACCATCTAGAGTTTACAGTGTAGTGTGGCTTGTCTTTTATCGAAAGAACTCACACACCCAAAAATATATTTCAGTCCCAAAGGCTTTGCATATTAAGGATTATCTATAGACCAGACCATATATTTATAGATGTTTGAAAATTAATTATGGATGGGGGTGCCTGGGTGGCTCAGTTAGTTGAGCGTCTGACTCTCCATTTCGGCTCAGGTCATGATCTCACAGTTTGTGAGTGTGAGCCCCGCATCAGGCTGTGTGCTAATGGCGCAGAGTCTGCTTAGGATTCTCTCTCTCTCTCTCTCTCTCTCTC